ATACTGAAACGTTTGAATTAAAAAACTAAATAAAGACTTAAAAAATAAAGGCATGCTTTATTTTTTGAATACATCATTGATAAAAGGCATAAATAAGAGGAACATTTGAAAATTAAAAAAATAAACTAGATTGTGGCTAAACTTATGCTACTGTTTGCAACTAAATACTGAAGAAGACTTATTTTACAGAAGCTATTTTTTAAAATTCTGAGGGCCATAAATGCTCTCAAACATTAAAACTCATTTAGGTTGCTCCTTCCTTCAAGGCATTTATTCCCATATAAACGGCAAAGTTTAAGAGACATAGGCAAACAACTTACCACAAAGATTGGATGTGAAAGTGGTTATGGAGTACAGAAATGCCACACAGCAATTTAAGGCAGCAAAAGACTACTAAGCCAAATTTAAACTGCAGGGGCATATTACCATCAGTAGACATGAACCAAAATTGGTTTCTGACCAGGACTTTATCCCTATATTTATAAAAGGGAATTGAAAATTATCTTACAGATAAAAATAAAGCTTAGCTTTTTATGTCTCACCTGAAAGAGTGGGAAAATATTTTCATAGGTCAAGAATTTACACCCAGAGTTATTATTTAGATTGACATTTAAAAGTTATTTAATACCCTCAGCTAAGAAATCTTAGCTGCTAAAATTAAGACACAATGATTAAATGCTGATTTGCATATATTCTTGCAAAAGTGATATTTCAATAATACAAATATTTTTAAAAATGGGCAAAAGTTAGTAATATGGTTACATGGGTACCTTATTATGGTGGTCATAGATCATTCAATTCAATCTATTAATGATGGGATGTACTGAAAATATTCTTTTAAATCTAAAGGTTTAGGCTCACTCTAATTCTGGCTTCACTAGGAAATTTTATAACTTCAGTATTTAAAAATTTTTTTTAGTTGGAGTCTCACTCTGTTGCTCAGGCTGGAGTGCAGTGGCACACTCACGGCCAACCCAGCGTTGACCTGCTGGGCTCCGGCGATCCTTCTGCTTCAGTCTTCCAAGTAGCTGGAACTACAGGTGCATGCTACCTCATCAGGTCAATTTTTTATTTATTGTAGAGACGAGATCTCGCCAAGTTGCCTGGACTGATCTCGAACCCGTGGGCTCAGGCAATCCACTTGCCTTGGCTTCCCAATGTGCTGGGATTATAGACTGAGCCAAGCCTGGACAATTTTAGTATTCTTAGATGGTCTTTTCCAACAGAAAAGTATCTCTTTTCCAAGAGAAAGGTATACTATGCATCAGAAATTAATTAAAACTGCTAGGTATGTTTCGGATTTAGAGTTTTAACATAATTTATTTACATCAAAGAGGTGTGAAACGAGGACAGACAAAAATAGTACAAAAATCATATATCTTAAATAATAACAATGTACACTATCTCTCAATATGTGATAAAAGACCTTTAAGGTAAATTCTTTCCACGATCCTTGACATAAGTTTTTCTTACAATACAAAAAGAATAGAATGCCTGTGGATTTTACTAGCTTCCAAGTATACTCGGGTTATTCCTGGTTAGTGATATGCTATCATGAGAGCAAGAAAGAGGTATCATGAGCCCTGGGAGGCACCCTAGGGGAAGCAGGCATACCACATGGGTTAGGATCTACATGTGTCTGGAACTTTCACATGTGATAAGAACTCCGAGGGGTGGATGTTATGATTCCCATTTACAAATAAGGTTGCTGAAACTCAAGGAAACTGAGGAACTTGCCCAAAGTCTCATATTTGACTAGTGAAAGTAGATTTTAAAATTCATATAGAAATGTGCATGTCCAGTTCTCTAAATAATCATAATTGTATCATTTGCAGTTGTAACTTTCATTGACGTTAGCCTTCTCTAAGATAATTCTTGAGTATAGATCTATACTGAAGACAATTCCAGAAGAATGCAGGCATACATGAGAATGTATAATTTTAGTGAAACACAAAATGGCAAACCTAGATGTATAGACAAAAAATGCGTGCAGTAATCTGTAGAAAGTAACTATTAGGATAGGTTAACCTTCTCCAACGATATGAAACAACTATAACTCATCATCACTGAAAACTATTTAAATAATAACCATACAAACTACCAGAAAACAAAACACTTGAAATTTAAGAGATCTATGGTCACATCAGCATGTATTACATCTAGTTTTACACACAAGATAGAATGGTAAGAGTGCAGCGTTTGAGTGCTTTGGAATCAGATCTGTATTCAAAACATAGTTTTAACAATTACTGGCAGTATAAGGAAGGAAGAGACTTAGGCCTAATGCTTAGTTTACCCACCTGCAACGGAGGGAAAAAAGTACTAATTTCATAGGATTAAGATTTAGATAACGTATACTATGGGCACAAAGTCAGTGCACACAAAAAACAGCTTACTTTGTTCACTATTCCTCTCAACTAGAGATGGTATTAGAAAGACAACCAGTTTAACTTTAGTTTACAGATGGAAAGTCTCAGTTATTTTATTAAGAGCCAAAGCACAAATCTGAGTCAATTCACTTTCCTCTACAAAACGTAATGTCATCAAACTTTATTAGTAAGTTCTCTCTCTTCTGATGATTGTATGAGGTGGACTAGATTCTTTCATCCTTGTTATCAATTCCCATGGCCAGGAAAAAAAATTGTAAACTTGAGCATCTGCCTAATCACACTTAGCTAGACTTCAAAAAGAATGGTATCTTCAGGCTGGGTATGGTGGCTGATGCCTGTAATCCCAGCATTTTGGAGGCCAAGGCAGGAGGACTGCTTGAGCCCAGGAGTTCGAGATCAGTCTGGTCAACATAGTGAGACCTCATCTCTACAAAAAATAAAAAAAACAATGAGCAGGGTGCGAAGGCATGAGCTTGTAGTCCCGGCTACTGGGGAAGCCAAGGAGGGAGAACTGCTTGAACCCATGAGTTTGAGGTTGCAGTGAGGTGTGACCATGCCACTGTACTCCAGCCTGGGCGAACAGTGCGATCCTGACCCAAACAACAAGAACAACCAAAACAGTAACTTCAAGTTTTGGAAATCCATGTTGTGAATGCTTTTCTTTCTCAAATGTACACTATCTTCATGAATAACAAAGACGTGTCATGGCATTTACCACATACTTTTTGGGAAAAATGTGTTCATAGTATATTAGAATGACTAGTTGCTACTGTCATCCCAAACTAAAAATTAGGCATTTTAAGATTATAACACTTAAATAACTTTTACAACAGATCAGTTTTAAAATCTGGCTATATTATGGCTAAAATCACCTGTTCTAGAACAGGTTGTACTGCCATATCTATCAAACTTTCCCTCATCCCAAATCTTGTGAAACAGACAATGACATTTCAGGTACTGTGAATTAAAAGGTAATAATCAAAATCCTAACTAATAGGGAACTTGTGAGGAAATAAGTAAGGCTTGGTATGGGAAGATCAGTCCTGAATTATGGCAACACCTTTATTCTAGAGTCTACAGAAAAGCACTCACACTAGTAGCTACTCCTGGCATTTCTTAGGGCAAGCTTCTCATTCCTAGTCAAAGGAAGACACTTGGCTAGACATTCTCATACCTGGAATATCAATAGCAACAGCAAACAGTTTAAAAGACTGAGCTCATGAAGTCTCCAAGGAATCAAAGCAAATGCCAGATGTCAAGCTATTTGTTACTAAATGGTCTGATTAAAACTTTTAAGTTTTTGAGGGCGGAAAATGAAAATTTTAAGCCAAAAGTTCTGGGGTCTCACAAAAACAGATATACTGAAAAAACTGTTATGAAATAAATGAAATCAAGATTTAGAGTTATTCATATCATAAAACACATAGTAAATTAATGTGTCTGTGTATATTTTATATATATGTGTGTTTACGTGTTTAAGCATTGAGTTGTGAAATAAACATATTTCCAGACATAAAGGGAGATCAAAGATATTTATCACTTAAACTTCTGAAATGGTTTTTGCTAGTTAAGTTGATGGCTATAAAAGGTTTTTAAATTTTTATTAGTGACTACAAAGAACCTCCAAAATTTAAAATATGCTATAAAATTCATATAACAAAAAAATAATTTTCTAGGATAAAAAGTACTAATATATATTACCATACATTAAATCAGATAGTTTATAATATATAACACAAAAATGTTACATAAATGTTATATAATAATTTTATTACTTGAGATGCATGTTGCACTCATAAAATTAATATCAGTACAACTGAAAACAAACACCTGATAATTAGTCCTCATTCATTTGATAGAATATCCTAGAAATTATATATACCAAGTATAATATGAATAACAGAGAAAAAACAATGACTGAGGTACTTTTATATACCTGACTGGTTAAAACTCTGTACTAGTCAGCAATGGCTTAAGTTACAGAACTTTCTGGATCATCTACATAGAAGCAGTGATAAAGAGACAATGGGAGTTTAGAGGAGCATCTTGAACATAAAGAATAAAACTAACAACTGGGATAGAAGCCTTTCTAGAATGTATCCATTTGCTTAAATAGATACTTTACAGAAATATAAATCCAGTGGGTATGCAAAACAAAAAGATGTTACAAGTTCTCCAGGTATGTCAATGTCCTATGTTACCCCGAAGAGTTACTGGGGAAATATTTATACTCCTCATTAGTAAAAAGGAGACACACTAATGATTCACTTTAAAGGACAATGATAATGACAAATTTTTAAATTATAAAACTGGATACTTTCTTATTATAAAACATATATAAAACATATAGCCCTACTGAACAATTTACTTTCCCATGGAGTTTATGCAACTTATTTTTATAAATTACCTTTCAAGTTAAATTAATAAAGGCATTTATAATTTTTCCTTCTAAGTGAAATTTAATTTTTTCTTCTTAAGTTCAAGTGACAATGAACTTCTCTATCACAATTTTAGGCAACTCATAAAGCTAATTTTGCAGATTATAGTTAATTTTTGATTTCTACCTACTATTATTCTTCAAAGACAGATAATTTGAATGTTAAATCTTACCTGACCAGGTTCTGTTCCAGTTACAGTCAAGTCTTGGATAGATCTACGTCTTGGCTGTCCGTTGCCTTAAAAAAAAAAAAAAGGAGAATGCCGAAATTGATTCAAATTGAGACAATACGGTTATAATTGCTACAGAAGGAAGTGGAATTTGTTGCTCCTGGATATACACAAAATGTTTGTGGGAAAAAGAACAAGTGAGTTTATTGTAAAAAAAAAAAGAAAAAAAAAAAGATGAGAAAAATGTACAGAAGGAAAAGGGAAGAGAAACAGCTGCAGGGATTTAACTCAAAAGTTGCTGGCCACAACAGAGCATGTCCTAATACAGTAACCACTCCTACCACATGAATAGCTGCTGAACTATCTTCCACCATCTTCTGTCATGTGTTTAAATAGATGAATGCTTGGGGGCTGAGGCTGATGACGGCATCTATTTCAAGGGCCTTACGTTATAGTTTTTACAGCAAGACAGCTAGCAGATTGTAAGACACGACTGACTTTCAACTGGCAGCAATACCTTGTTCATTTCAGGGCCTAAAAAGATGCTTAGGCTTAAATGTATTATACTAAGTCACATTTACTTAATCCCATTAATCTTTGTCAGAATCTAGTAATTTATTATTTGTGAACAACTCTTAATTTCCTAATGGAGAAGAATGAATTTCACTTTGTTCCCAAACACACAGTTTGTTGAAACAGTCTATTGTGTTGAGCCTGATTTAGGAACTTCCGTGCTAACAAGAATTTAATTAAATAAATCAGTTTATGAAAGAATCCTATAAATATAAATACTATGCAAAATGAAATGAATTAAGTACTTAGTTTCACTCAGCACTTTTATTTGGGAATAGAGCTGTTTATATGGCATCTTCTAAGATGAGCCATCAGCTGTCTAAAAGGAAACATCAAAACACTATGAGTAACAGGTGATACAATGCTCAACATTCTTTTGACCCTGAAAGTTGTTATTATATAATTTCTCACCAGTGGGCAACACTTGGAACATGTACTCTAATAGTTGTGGCCCAATTAGCAGACAGAATGCATTCTAAAAATTTTAGATTTTCATAATCCTGTGTATAAAGAAATTATTTTAAGCCTATCGACAACTTAGTTTAGCACCTTAACCCATGTGACCCCATTATTATTTTGCACATCAACTAAAAGGGCCTTATAATGGAATAAGAAAGTTTAATGCAATAATATGTATAGCGAATATAAAACCTTACATTTATAACCACCCTTGAAAGTGTAAGACATTCTCCTTTTCCATTTTAAGCTGTTTCAGAATCTTTGCACAATTTGAATTCAATTTACTTCAAGTTTCATTTTGTTCCCCAAATTTCCAACCTTTCCTTACAAATTAAGACAATAAACTGTGCAGACACACTAGATTACTTTTACGAATACTTTCAACTATCCCTGTTTTCTTGTACAAAAAGGATCCCCACCACCATGACTAATAAGCAATTTTAGGCACATTTCATTCAACACACTCCTTCTAAAATTAGCAGTGATGAGACAGGCCTGTAAAAGTGTCTGGAATTCTCTTTTCAGATTAGCGACACAGCAACATTTGTGAATCTGAGGAACCACCCAGCACATGTGTCTATAAACTATTACATCATCATTGCGATAACAACAAAAACTGAACTCAAATTTAGGTGTTGGGGGAAGGGGTAGGCAGAAGGAAAGGGAAGTAAAAACTTTTAAGGAAGTAGGGTAAAGAAGAGCTGACAGTTAACAAATGCCATAAAATGAGAAATCTTCAAGCTACAGCATGAGTCAAAGCAAGCAATATTAGGCAAGGCATTTTAATTAGCAAAACCATGGCAGAAACCATCTGGCGCATAGTTCAGACAAAGCAAAACAGGATTGCAATCAACAAATACTTGTTGCTCCAATATTAAGTTTTAAGTCATAATTTAGAAATATGAATGTAAGAAAAAAAGTCAATCTCCTATTATTTCAAATGAAAATTACTGGGTGTGTTCTCAGCAAATTTGGATTGATTCTGATTTTTTTTTCTGCAACTGAATACTAATTTAGAAATTCACACATTTTACGTTTTGTTGGTTCTTTGATATGTGCATACCTGTGTTATACATGGTAGTATAAATAAAAAAGGAGTAGAAATGAGGACAACATGATGTAAGCAGATGCCTGATCAAGGGATCTGAAACCTACATATGCTGCCCAGAGTATCTAACATTGCAATGCATTCTGAAACTTCCATGACTTATAATAGAGAACAAATCACCTTTTAGAATGACTCTTCTAAGTAAAGAACACACCACACTGCCAGTACATAGTAAATCCACCCCACTTCCCCCAAATAGAAAAAGGGATAAGAATAGTCACTTAAAGGCTAGTTGAGTTCTTTTTCAGTAATGTCATAAAGACAGAATCCACTTCTTAAGAAAAGCTACTCTTTTAAGTACAAGTGATTTCCTGAGCTGGTATTCAAAGTCTTCACAGAGTTCTTCCAGGGGCTGTTGGCTTAGGTCCCAGACAGTCACTTATATGGTTCTGGTTTTGTTTTTTAAAATCAGTTTTCATTTCATAGCTTTCCTTATCTTCACTACTCTTTATTTTTTTCTATTTTTAAAAAAACTTCCTAAAGACTCTACATTTTCCTGAAGCCATCTCTTAGCCTAAATGTTGGGAAGTTTGACATTCGTAAGTCTTAAATAGTAGAATTGGGGGACACTGCTATCGTCATGTGTAAAATACATTAAAGATATTAAAAGATTTATACAGCATGAGACAATGCAGTATTACACTACTGCTTCACGATACATGAAATATGTAATTTTAAAATATGTGTTCTCATTTAGGCTGCAACAAATTTAATATTCCTTTACTAATTTCAACAAATTCTGGCTCTTCCACTGAAAAGCCCCTTCAGGCTTTGCATTTTGGTTTTTGCTTTCTTATCAAAGGAAAGCAATTATTATTGATGAGTTTTGCTTTCTAAAAAAACCAGTTTTCTAATAACCAGCTCTATTAGGTTAGAGTCCAATATTTTAGACTACAAAAAGTAATCTTGGTGTACTACAATGTGGTGGAGACTGTCTAAATACTCAGTGTAAGGTAAGATTAATTTCTCTATTTAATTTGCCACACAACACAGAATTTTACTGAACATGAGGTGGCTATGCACAGAAACTGGTATAGTATGTCTTAGTATATAACTACGGATATATGGTATCCCTAATCATAAGTTCACAACTGCTAATGACACTACCTGTGCTAGGTAGGAACTTGCCAGATCAGAAAAACTCAATGCTTTCTCTTACTGTCTTTTCATATTGGTGCTGCACCATCTAGGGGAATATGTTTAATAATTACATACTTCCAGTCAAAGGAATGTTTACAAACACCCGCACCTACTAGCTCTTGAACCAAAGAGAGTATTAGAAAGATGATAGTTTCATTCTGGTGCAGAAAGCGAAATAGTGCCCAAGTATCCTTAAAAAACCAGCTCTGTTTCCAGTTACCAAGTCTACAAAGCCCTCGCCACATACTCATCTGTTCCCAGTGTCTGACATTCGACACTTCTGAAGGAGGGCGATGATACTTAAGTATTAGAAGGCTAACATGTTTGGGTTTTTCCACGTTCTTACTCCACTTTACTACTTACCATACTCTTGAAAAAAACTAATATAAGATAGAACTAAATGTCCTTGACTAAAATTAAAAGTGAACACTCATTAAATTTTTTACAGTTAAGAGATCTAAATGCAGTTGAAAGCATAAGAACACCTAAGGTTTCTCCTTGGCTTTAAAAATGATTTTACAAACATTAAGTACCAAATTTAGGCTCTTCAAGGAACTAGGTAAAAATATATATTTCAATAAGACTGGACTAAAAATCATTTGTATATTCAATCTCCTCTATCAGATCCTTAAGAACAGTATGCAAGACAGAAAATCCTCTTTGGTCAAGGCATTCTATCACTCTCAAATGTTGCCATATAACTTCAAGCTTAACAAATGGCAAGTATGCTTAAGCACACAACTGCTCGGCTTCTCAAACTGGAACACTTCAATACAGTGCTTATCTACAGAATGGAGAAGAGATTTTTCAAGTGCTTAGAATGAAATCAAGCATTATACATTTTGTCTGAACTAAGAACTAAATTCAGAATTATTGATTATGATATTCTGATAGCATTAATAAAACCGGCTTACATATAAATATTCTATAAAATTTATAATTTAGCTAATTTTCTCAAGATATATTTAAACTATAATGTCAATATCAGTATTTGGAAAATTCCACTTTTGCAAATCACATTTTGAAAATTCATTTTATTTTACAATAGCCATCAAGCTGCTATAAACTATGTACACAAATTTTATATGATGACAGTGGATGTGAAGAAAAAGAATGCTTCCATTAATCTTTTTATGGGGGGGTATGTCCACATGTGTATGACAGTATTTTTTCCCAGTGGATTTAAAAATGCGTTATAATCACAGCTGATTTCCTGAAGTGGTATAACTACTCACACAAGGACTTCAGAGCAGGATCCTCCTGATTATTGATGCTAGAACCATGAACAAAATTTACTTTCTTAATTATTCATTCTCTCTCTCTGCTTTAAACTGGAAAAAGTTGTTGCTCTTTTCTGGATAACTTTTAGGCACAAAAGTAGAAGCAACAACTTTTTCATTTGTTTCGTTTACTCTTTTACAATTGTTCATCTTTGACATTTGGATTTTTAAAATAAATGTAACATTTAGGTGTTCTTCTAACATCAGATGAATTGCTATTAACAGAATTTATTGTATAGTTTCACTAACAATCCATATTTCATTTGTTTATCTGAGATAAAGGGGGGAAAATAAATGCTTGGAAGCTTGAATAGTAACAAAAACAAAATGTGATGGAAAGTAGAGAAAAATCTAAGGAAAACGAACACCTATGTTCTTATTGTCCTTATTAAAGTCCTGGAAAAAAGAATATCCAGAAAAACTTAAAGTAATCCAATAATCTGTTACTCATTCCCTTTTTTTCAAATAAAATTACAACAAATTAAAATTTAACAGCTAAAAGGAGAAA